TTGTTGTTCAGTCAATAGAGATCGAGATAGCTATCTATCGATAGGGCATCTGCTGTAGATAATTTAAGTCAAGAATAGTGATCATTATTTGAGCTAGTCTTTTAAAAATTCAAAATACGATACGATTCGAAAGTTTATAATTAGCACATGTATAAACAAATTAAACTACGAAATCCTACGTTCGATGAATTTTTACGTAATATAGAATTTATTAATGCCGTTATTTATTTCCAATAATAGATCGAAATTTTCTCACAACTATTATTACCTAAGCGTTACTAAATTTGTATTAGATTTTTAATAGCATCAGTTATTTGTTTTCTTCATTAAAGGCTATCTTCCTATAGCAATTTAATTATGATTGAGATTTGAAAAATTTCTTGTTTTACATTTTTCTATGTCAAGTATTCCCTAGGCTCTCATGAACTAAATATATTTTTACACATTGCTTTGATATATTTTTTCAAAAGAAAACAATAGACAATATCGTTCTAATTTACAATGGAAAAAATCATCAATTATTTATTGTCTGATTTTCTTTTATTTTTCATAATATTATTCTACACCCACATATAGATTTACTCATGTAAAATAATTTTCTACTCTTGTATACCGATGAAAAAGGGTTAAAAAAATCTTCAAATTTATCATTTAAATAATCAATTAAAAGCATATATAATTGAGTTACTTTTGCTTTCCCGTAAAGTTTTGACTTATTATCAAATCTAAGGGCAAAAACAGACATTCATCAAAATATTTTGTTTGTTTGACAAATATAAGAAAAATCTTGTTAGATTAACAGTAAAAAACATGCAAATCTGACGGTGATGCTTAACAGATTCTCCTATATTTAGAGTATACTTGTTTAGAACGCGGTCTTTCTGATGTATTGACACTAGTTCCCAGTAAATAGCGATGTTGCTTCAGCGTCAATCACTACATATACACAATCATAGAAAGTTAGCCCAACAACGATAGTCATAAAAATAAGCGACAGAAAAGAGTAAGATAACGCAGGAAAGCGAGAAAACATTTCGGCTTCAGCTACTGCTGTGTTAGTGCCTGTGTCAATATCGCGACAACAAGCGACCAAAAAAAACAAGAAGCATGCATGACAATTTGCTACGCCAAATAGAGTAGAGAACTAAATCAGCCAAAGGCATCCGCAGCCTCACATTTCATTGCTTGTATTCTTCCTCTCTTTGAATTTCTCTTCTGTTCCCAAGGACAAGCATTGCATAGATTCACATAATCAGTATCTTCCATAATGTAAGTCCATATTTAACAGATAATGTTCTTTTTACTTGATAAAAATTTATCCAATCATACCCAAATCCATACCCGCACATACGTATATTAATGTATAAATAGTTTAGGATGATAGTAATGAAGACGACATTATGTCTGTTTCTCATATCTAATTGCTCTTCATCTAGTGTGTGTGTGTGTGTGTGAACTGGTGAGTTGCCGCCTTATATTCAGTCATAAAGGCGGAAAAGAATAAGAAAAGACAGTTGAAACTCCTTATTGAAAAATTAAACTAAGTAGTTCTACTTTTCTTTTTTTTCTTTCTTTTTCTTAATATCTAAACGGATTCATTAGCAAATGATAGAAATTGTATGTGACTTAGAGAGAGAGAGAGAGAGAGAGAAGAGAAGAGAAGAGCAGAGAAGAGAAGAGAAAAACAACAATAAATAAGTAGTTTTGCATGCCGCAATGAAAAGGCAAATACAGTGAAAACTCAAATATATATATCGTCGCATTTTGATCTCATTTGTGTTGTTGAAAAAAAAGAGCTTCTTTAACTACGAACAGATCTTTTGCATGTTAAATATGTGCTTCTCAACTATAAGTAAGTCTTAAAATTGTTTTGAGATAGACGTCTCGTTTCATATAGTCTTCTCATCTTAGTTCTACTCATCTGTAAAGCACTTAGTTTGGCCTCATTTTTCAATCTTTTGATCTACGATGCGTAGTAGTATTATTCTTTTTCAAGCTTTTGTTTTTGGAAATTGTTTTGATCGAATAGTAGTGTCAATTACAGATTAATTTCAATATTCATTGTCTATAAAAATTCTAAAGATAACAAAGTATCCAGTAACATTCTTTTCTTTTCTCTCTGATTCTCTACAAATCCGATCTAATAATTGGTCTTTTCAAATACAGAGATTATCCGATTTAAGTAGTCAAATAGAAAATATCATAAATTATACGAATAGACAAAGAAAAATCCGACTTCATTAGCATCAGTCCACTTTATATAATAGCATTCATTAAAGCTACTCGGTTTTCCTGTTTTCTTTTTATCATTGTCGGTCTGTATGACGAAGATATACCATTGATATGATCTATTTTGATCATAGCTAATCATTCGGAAAAAAATGACATGAAAAATAGTCTAGTCATATATATGATAGTATGCACAAAGGAAAAATTAATTATTTAATATGTTCTCGTGAACGATGTGCTAGATGTAACATTCAATTTTTATTTGATAAGAATTTTTTGATTAATAAAACGAAACGCATTCGATATTGATGCATTGACTAAATAATGTATCGAATTTTTTCTATCACATTTAGATAAAAAATAATATATCGACTTATGAACATTAACAAAAGACTTGAGTCTTAAACGAAATTAATAATATCATAAAACTTCCCTATCTATCTCTTGAGAATCTCAATCTTCAGCAATTTGATAATCCATAGTAATTTTTCTTTTCCGTAAATGATATTGGCCTATGTTGAAACAAACTGAGACGAATTCTAGTGTAATCAGAAACCTTCGATGGAAATACGGATGCAATCCCTGCGATTGCAAAGAAACGACAACATCAATTACATATAATAATCAGGCAATCGATAAAGAACAATGTCAAAATCGGTCTTAGATGTCTATTGGCACATAAACTGATTTAGATCGATGACACTGATTTAGTAAAATATTCGTAACATTATATTCGTCATTTTTTTCTTCTTTCTATTAGCGTCTCAAGATTTTCTACAACTAGAAAAGATATACCAGTTCAATACTATCTACAGACTATTATGATATGAGTCTTGCCAGAAGGAAGTGAAGAACGAGATAGAGAGCACACGCACGCCGGAAATCAAAAAAAATCGAAGTGTAACAGTAGTTTGAATAGATCAGACGAGTAGCATAGTAAGAAGAAAAAGAAGAACAAGATAGATGTTATTGTAACGTTTATGACGTTCATTGAACCCGATTTTTCTCGTCTATCACTTATGCCCTCTTACATTTCTTCCACTCATTTTACACGAATCCTTTTTCTCCACTATTATTGTCATTATCGTTAAACACTGAGTGCATAGTAATGTTTTTGATGAATGGCATATGTTCACTTTCACATAATATTAAACGAGGCAGATCATTGCATTAAGGTAACAAAATAAAGTGAGGCAATTAATTGTTCGAAACTATTGATCACGTACATCCTTATACAATTATATTTTATCTATTCTACCAAAATCTTTATATGACCAACATGCCCAAGTGGCTAGGTACGTCTATACTCGCATTTGTAATAATTCCCTGAATATTTCAAATGTCGTTAATGGATAGACTTTTATTTTTATTTTTCTTCCTTATGTTCTATTCTCACATGCGAAATATCAATCAATCAAGTACCTACATATATATACATCTATAGCTATAGTTATAGATTTCTTTGTATTTCTATTTTATTTCGAGATGGACTATAATGTTAACCGTTACTACTGATTGAGGTTTTGTGGTCGTTGTTTTATTACTATTGATAGTGGAATAAAAAATACAGCATGAATTAAATGTCTCCTATGCTCAAAACAAAAAAAAATGAAGAATAAGAGAGAACAAGAAGCAGATGTCTATTATGATAAGGAAACCTTATTAATCCGATAGAACTTTTATTAAATACCAAGAAAACAACGATAATAATAATAATAATAATAATAATAATAATAATAACATAGTAGGTCTCATCTTTCCTGATATAACCATGCACCAATATAAAAATAACTTTCACCGAAATCCATTCATGTTAAAAAAGAATCAAGAAGAATGGGAAAACACTTAAACTTGTCAATTGACAAACAAAAGCAATGTTTATTAAATGGTTCCAGTAACTTTTTATGAATTAATTACTTTTTTTTTCTAAAGCACTTTGTATATTTCAGAAAACAGATTGTTTATCCATTTTTCGTACAATATAACAGATAACAGGCAGATTAGGAACGCTTAAGCTTATAATAGGAATAAAATCTAAGATATAAAATAAATAGAGTTCCTAACATTTTGTAGTACACATTAGAAAAAACTATCCATAGAACCGTAAACGAAGAGAAAGAAAGTGCATCAAACATCTAGAACGAACAAGAGAGAAAGCATTCGCTGAGTTTTTGCTGTGTGGATGACTGGCGAAGAGAAGAAGAGAATGAAAATACACGTGTCATTGTCCTTTTGCATTCTGTACGCTTGTATTTGTGCGTTTGGATTGTGTGGTGTGGTGGTTGTGTTGTGTTGTGTTGAAAAAAAAGAAGACGAAGAAGAATAATAATAAAAGAAGACGGCCTTGCCGACACAGTGAGTAGCGGATTTCGCACGATTATCGTTATTGTGAAGCGTTCGACTCTATCTTCATGTCTTTTAGCTGCATTATGATAGTCACACAGAGAATAGTATTGACTGTGCTTCCTTTTTCGATAACAACATTGACTATACGGTTAAAGAAAAAAACATTTATCTCAATCAACTGCTCTGATATCGTTTACCCTCAGTTTAAGGTACCTAATCTTTTTTCGACAGCAAGTCAATCTTTCGCGTTCGTAGTACTTTTTTCTTTTACGTCTTTTATTTTTACTTCTGCCTTATCATTGTCATTATTGTCATTGTCAATGACGACGATGATGATGATAATAATATTTCACTTTCTTTTTTTTTTTGGCTATCTGCTACTTTATCTAAGTATTATTTCATTTATTTTCGTTTTAAAAGAAAAAATGAATAGTTCGACGGCAAGCAGCTCAAATACGCATCCCACTGGATCATTAACGCTTCATGTTCTTGATGCTCAAACAAGCGCAGAAAACGGTCGTAAATTCACTAAATATAAAGTAGCTGTCAACTATAATGGTCAAGACTGGGAAATATGGAGACGTTATAAAGAATTTCATACATTAAATGAAAAGGTTAATAGAAAATAATAGTAGTCTTTTTTTTATGGCTTATGCATGTTTTGTTATTTTTGTATTTAGCTTCGTCGTGTTCGTTCCGATTTAAAATTACCCGGTCGTCGTTTATTAGGTGATTCATTCGAACCGGATTTCGTACTAAAACGTCAACGTGGTCTCAATGATTATGTTCAACAAATTTCCAATAATTCACAAATACTTAATTTGTAAGTAAAACGAATCATAAAGGCTATGCTTTTGTTTTTAATTTCGACGCAATAGTGAAAACAAAAGATTATTTTTTTGTTGTTTTCTATTTTTTTCTTTCCTTTTGATTGATTGTGTCTTGTCTTGACTAACAAATTATCAATTTCTATTTGTGAAAATGCCTCGTTTAGATTGATATTTTCTCTGAATAAGGTCATTCATTCTTATATTGTAATTTCTTTTTGTTAAATTTCATTTATAGACCTGAATTCATTGACTTTTTTGGTCTGTATAAAGCGTCATCAAATATATCACCTAAATCAACAACAAGTACAACACCATTAAATAATGGTAAAACGAACAGTACTGTTGTACAAACTGGTAGTGAGGATACAGATGATCCATCAACACCGGTAATTAAACATCTAAATTATTTCTTTCCAAAAACATCTTCTTAATTTAGTCTGATATAAGTCGTGTTAACCTAGGCAAAACTGAAAAAACTGCGTATGCATAGAAACCAATTCTTTTTCTATTCGAAAGAAGATAGCTTTGTTTTTATTTTATAGAGTTAAACCTGATGATTTTGAATTTCGTACTTGTATTGGAAAAGGTTCATTTGGAAAAGTTTATTTGGCTCGACATAAAACTGAAGATATGATATATGCAGTTAAAGTTGTGAGTAAAGCATTAATCAAACGAAAAAAAGAAGAACGCCATATTATGGCTGAACGTGATGTACTTGTTAAAAATACTCGTCATCCATTTCTCGTATCGCTTCAATATTCATTTCAAACACCAGATAAATTGTATTTTGTCATGGATTTTGTCAATGGTGGTGAAGTATATAATTTTCTTTGTTACATTTAAACTCTATATACTCATCTGTTTATGGATTTACTTTCTTTTTCAGTTATTTTTTCATTTACAACAAGAACGTGCATTTGGTGAACAACGTGCTAGATTTTATGCAGCAGAGATAACATCAGCTATTGGTTATTTGCATAAACTTGATATTATTTATAGGGATTTAAAACCCGAAAATATTTTACTTGATCGTGAAGTATGTTTTTCAGTAAAAACAATTGTTTTGTTTGATATAATATTAAATATTTTTAGGGACACATTCGTTTAACTGATTTTGGCTTATGTAAAGTGATGTTATCATCCGAAGGACGTGAAGGACGAACAGCAACATTTTGTGGTACACCAGAATATCTAGCACCAGAAGTACTGCGACGTGAAGCATATACAAAAGCAGTTGATTGGTGGTGCTTAGGTTCAGTTACTTATGAAATGTTATGCGCTCGAGTATGTATTTGTTACATGTCTATTTGTTTTATTTATATTTATTTTGAATATCATTCAGCCGCCATTTTATTCCCGTGACGTTAATGAAATGTATGAAAATATTTTGAGTCGACCACTACGTTTCATTGGAAATGTATCAGAGCGTGCTCGAAATTTAATTGAACAAGTATGTAATAACATAATTGAAAACATCGATTAGATTTTTGTTGTATTCTAGTTACTAAGAAAACTTCCAAATGAACGATTAGGTAGTGGACCCGATGATGTAAACGAAATCAAACGTCAACCGTTTTTTGATCAAATTGATTGGGAAAAATTAGAAGCACGAAAAATTGCACCACCGTGGAAACCGTCTGTTAGTGGCCCAACAGATCTGGGTCAAGTTGATAAAGTATTTACACAAGAAACAATATCTCCAAGTGTCCAAGAACATTATATCGGAAGTGTGACTAATAAAGATCCATTATTTAATGGTTTCACATATATGCCTGAAACACTTATTAATGATTAGTTTAATCTTTTCTGGTACGAGTATTTAATTTGTCAAAAAATGAGTCATTGAATTTTTGTGTTGTTTTTGTTTTTTTTTGTTTCATAAACTATCGAAGGAAAGAAGAAACCAGTGATGATTTTTATTGTCTATTCATTTATACGATGTACATGATTTTCTTTTTCTTGTCTTTTTTTGCTCGTTACATTCCGTTTGATGGACGAACAGTGCTTCTTGGGTTCCAAATCATTTGGCTTCTACTCTCATCTTTTATTTTTATTTTCCTTTTTTTCTTCTTCTTATAATGCATCTATAACTATACTTGTATCACCTTCTTTTTCTTTTCTTGTATTACATACACGCCGGTATGTGTGTGTCCATTCGCTACGTTTAGTTATTTGTGTGTGAGCGGGATGTTTCAAGATGACTGTGTTTTTTTCTAAAATAAAACTGTAACTGTTAGACGCAATAGCATCGTATGCAATAAAAAGAAAACAAAGGAAGAAAAAAAATCGAAAATCATGGTTAGTACTCAGGTTACTATGGTGCATCTTCAAGAGTTACAAAAAGGAATTAATCATTGAAATGATACATCTTTTCAATCATATAGAAATGTCGCAGATTTTCAGACATGTATTCTCTTTAATGTGAAAACAATTTCGATGTGACTTATCGTGATATATATAGGTAGTTAACTTTGATGCATTTTTTTTGTGATCTTAACACGAACATTCTTCATTACATTACGAGAAAAATATGTAACAAGTAGCTGCCTTTGCTTATTAAGAACAGTGGTATTCTTAAACTTGAATTGATTTTACAATAATTATTAGATAAAATATGGATGATATACATCTATTTATCTTTTCTAATTGATTTTCATTCTATTTATGCCATAGTTTTTTTTTATAAAATAATAAAATACAATAATAATAATGATCTTCTGTTATTCTATTTGGTTTAAATAAGTACAATATAAATATCCTGTCCTTGATATTGAATAGGAAAAGCATTTCCTCTGTTTTCTTTGTTGAAGAAAGATTAGTCAGAATCCGACATAGTTTTTGTTTTATATATCAACATATTCTTTTATATTTTTCAAGAAGTCTGTTGTATTTCACTTCAGATCATGTAATAATGATCTATTTAAGAAAGAAGAACTATTTTTCGAATTATGCTTTATCATAAGTACTCTCTAAAATTGATTTTATGAGAGACTAGTCTTTCTATATTTTCTTTATCAAAATCATAAAGATTATTTGAATTTTTTTAATGGAAATTTGATATATTCTGAGTGATTTATGCAATGATTCATAGCTGTTATACAATCGACGACAATTATTTGGTAATCTTCTTTTCCATGTACTTTGCGGACAAAAGTTTGAAAATTAAAAATTTCTCATAGAAATTGTTTTCAAGTTGTCGTTATTAGATTATCGTTGATTTCAATGCTTCTTTTATATAATTATAGGAACAGAAATTACTCTCGTTGGAAATCGCATGTTCTTAGTTTTTTTTATTCAATGAAGCAATCATTAATCTATGACAAACAACAAACGCTATGAAAATCTGTGATATGATGCTAAAAATACTTTTACATTATTTTAGTTCGAAAAGTTTTAAATGAAATTTAATATGATAAAAATAGTTCAATGCAATTTAAATTTTCTAGAACTTTGAATTGAATTTGAAACAAAAATAAATTTTACTCGATAGTACTTTCAAAATTTTATTGTTAAGTTTTAATTTCATTGATAGATTAAGAAAGATGTCTATAGTATAACTTAGTTTGTCAGTTGCGATGCTAGTTTTTTGATACGTTGTATCTTTCTTTACCTTTGTTATCTAGCATCGAACATTTATTTTAAAACCATAAGCATATCATGACAACATCTTTTTCATTTTCAACGCCTATGGCATCGTTATCAGCAGGTGAACTCGAAATCGATCGCAATGCAAGAGATAAAAATCTATTGGAATCATCAAATCAAACTTTATTTTATTCATCAGATGCATCCGTTTCAAGATTTCAGCAAGCAACAAGTCCAGTTAGCCTTCAACCAATCACAACAGATGCTCCAAACATACAGTATAATAATAACGATTTGAAAAATGAACAAGAGGAGCATCTTCTTAGTTTACATTACGATTCAAATCGATTAAAACAAGAAAAACTACTATTATTTACTAATATGTTTCGACTCTTAATTATTTTTATTGTTTCTCCAATTTTTTATTTTTTAGTTTAATAGTTTAATTTTAATTTTAAGTTAATAATACACAAAAAAAAAATATTTTTTTAAATAGAATCTTTCATTTTACCCAAGGGGGAACAAACTAATTTCTAATGCTCGAAATTACAAGAAATCATGGAAATCATCAGAAATCACTAGAAATCAAAAATCGAGAAATCAGTTTGCTCGACCGTGATTTTACCCATTATTTCCATTAATATAGTACAGCTTGTTTTGATGACAATCACCTCATAATTAAATGAAAAAGAAAAGTGGATTTGTACAATTCAAACTTGTTTACTAGTATTTTCCAAATTATATTTATACTAATCAACAGAACCTTAAATGCCTCTTGATTTATATTTCTGTATCTCATTATTTATTCAATGCTTTTCGTCTTATACTATTCAACTAGACAAAGCTTGGATCATCCAGAAAAAAGAACTAAACAGAAATTTTATCATGAAAAGATCTTTTACTGTTGTAGCTAAGTCGATAATCAAACTGTAACGATTATATGCGGAGAGCGTCCAAATTCCATTCGGGGGTGTAATGCTCTCGTTCGAGTGTAACCTATACATAAGATTTGGTCTTATGGTGCCATATATTCTCATCACAGCTATTGCCTTTATCTTTCTGTCCTTTACATTTGTCTTTATCTATCCTTCTTCTTCGTTTTCTCAAACAAATGGTTGAGTATTTAAGCGTGTGCTTTATATGTAATGGAGGCGATTTATGATTTGAAGAGTTAAATAAAGTGTAATACCATCCCCAGGTGAAAAAATCAGACGGTATTCTTGTAAGATGAGATGAAATCATACAAAAAATCGTAAAGTCAGATCATCGTATCCATTCGTATTGTAAGATTCGTATAAGATCTTATCAGGACATAAGATTCTTGTAAGATCTGATAAGAATCTTACAGTACGAATTGATAGGATGATCTGGCTTTACGATTCCTTGTATGATTTCATCTGATCTTACACGATCATACCGGATCAGAGGTACGATCATACAAGATCTTACTATCTGATTGTTTGACCTGGATCAGCACAGGCGTCTCTTCTATCAGAAATCGTTACACAAACGTTTAATAGTATGCAATATTTCATCAGTCTATTGCAGAAAATGACAAATTAGTGATTTATTCGATTAGTTTTTATTTTCTACACCATAATTATTTTGGATTAAACGTCTCTTCTCTCGAACGAAGCCAATCTATATTGAAATTAAAATAAAAGCATGACTGAAGAACTCAAAAGATTTTGCCCTTCATATGCAGCATGATGTTTTTATTCAAAGTTTACTTTTTTTTACGAAAAATCTGGCCTCCGATTGCACTTTTTTAAAAATATAGGAATCCTTAGAGGATCAAGGTTGTCAAAAATATAGGATTTTCGATAAAAAAATGGCAAAAAGAGAGAACATTGTATACACCGCTTATGATCAATTGTTTTGGTGTTTTTTTAACTGCTCTGCCCGAAAATCGTTTTAATGAAGTTGTTATCAACAGTTCAACTGTAGCCAAGATCCTTCTGTAATTTTTTCTACTGAAATAAGTCGCTAAGTTGAGGATCATTATAAAAGTTTTTCACAAATCGATAAATAACAATAAAGTAGATCATAAGCTTTGAAAAAGCAAATACATGAAAAAGACAAATACTATTTCTCATAACTAAAGGAGACATTTCAGATTACGGACATGACTTCCGAAAAAATCTCAACCTAATTTTATTGTCCTGATAATCAGCATTCATTGCTTATTATTTTCCACAAGTTTATTTTGTATATTATCATAACTCAATTTTTTCTGGTAATAAATAAGTGTAAATGAAAACGCATATACACAGGATGGCGTCAAATTTCACGGCTTTCAGAATATGCCGTTGCTTTTTAAAAACGTATGTTCTTTTGGTAACAATATCCTCAAAATACAGAGTGAAACTGATTTTTTCCAGGTGTGTGTAAACAGTGAAGTGGAAAAAAATTGCCGTTGCACCTACACATTTTCTCGAGTCATATATGTGAAGTGCATGAACGGATTCTTCTGAAACTTTTATCAGTGATTAAGGATGTGCTATAGATTTTAATCAGAGCGGGACTCCTCAAAAAGTGTCGTTCAGTAGAGCGAGAGACATCATGATTCGAGTGCCTACCGCTTTTCTAGAACGTCAAACAGACATATTACACTACCACGACTAGGGCAATCGTAGCGCTATGAAAATCGTCTTCTTAAAGAAACTCTACGTCCATAGTATCTAACGAAATACAAATGAGGTCCAACGACACGGTGTTGTAAAAACAAATGGAGGATCACGGTGTGTTGAATTGCCAGAAAAAATGGCGATCGGACCAAATTTTCTAACTATCTCAACAATGACATGTCTGACCGACTTGAAATTTCGATAGTAGACAGACATCGGCTAGTAGATAAAATTTTGCCCCACGTGAACAAATTCTGAAAATTCATCTTCAGCGTCAAATAGAGGTCAAAATTGGAGAAGGTTGTGTTGCATTTCTTTCCCGCTTTAAAAATCGAGAAGACATCGTATTGAGCTGAAACTCCGGCTACTGAATCTTGATCCAAAAGGAGGCTCATAGCTTCTTCCACTCTTCTCCAAACACACATTTTAGGCTAGCACATAATCCATGTACATAGGCAAAGCGATCTTAAGCTATTCGAGTGTATCGATGAAGCTCTTGTGTTTACTGCTTTTTTGGCTGAAGGAAAAAAAGGTAACTCGATTATTATATTTGTGTACTCTTGTGTATGTATGATCTATTTATAAAAAAAAACTTTTAATATTCATCATGTTCAGTAGAGTAACTTGATCAAATACTAACGGCAATTATTTTTGCACACCGCTGTATATATATACAGCTTTTATATCTAACTAAAACTTCACTAAAAACCCGAAACTAGTACATGATCACTTTGTGAATGATTTTTTTCTTTTGAACTATTTCGTATTTTGTACTTAGTATTAAACAATTTCTCAGTCAGTTCACTAAATAGGCGAAAGAAAAATATAGGACAAAAATAGGACTTTTTTTTGAAAATATAGGAATTATAGGAAATATAGGTCGAATCGCAGCCCAGACGAAAATATTTAATAACTTTTGAGATAATTTGATTGAGAAATATACTTTGATTTTTTGTTTTCTTAGCGTTGATGCATGTTTCATTGTGACTTCTGGAATTCTCGAAGGAACTTCATTGAAGTTAATTTCTTTCGTGCTTTATTTGAGAGGGCATGTCAAGATAAAGAGCATGGCAGGCAGAACAGTTTTTTTCGAATTAACATTTCTAACTGTAGTGAAGAAGAGTACGTGAGTAGTTAGATCGTCATTGTTTGAGGTCATTTCACGTCATAAAACTTTTACTTCTTGTTCTTGTCTTTCAAAGACTACGTCATAGAACGGATTTTGATATGACTTTTGAAATGAAAAAACCAGACTTGTATATATTGAATCGTTGTCCCATAGATCATGACTTTTCTACTACAATCCCATAATATATTCATGTAATTGCTTGAAGATCGATTGTGAAGAGGTGCAACTTCAATAATAAATGAAAAGAAAATTCATCATAATTACTTGATATTGTTTCTCACGATGCACATTAAGAATAATATATATTTATTCAAAGAGAAGTCAATCTGATATATGAATCATTCATTTTTTTAATGATTCTGTAAAACAAAAAAAGCATGAAATTATCACTCCTTTGTGCTTCGATAAATAAGAGAGATGTCGTATTTTTTGTTTTAATATCTATGCAATTTTTCAAAAAATTACACGCCCATTTCCATCATCATTATATCGGCTTGCCCAAACGTAACGATGTGACATTTTGACAAATTGTTTTGCAATTATCTCGAAAGGCATAAGAGCTAACAAGATCGTTCAAACATCATTCGACACAGTTCATCATAATCTATTTATGTTGCAAAAATGACCTAGTCTGACTGAACTGTCGCGTTTTCAGAAAGGTTTTATCATCGCGTAGCACTGACAAAAAAGGACCCTTTTTCTCTAGGGCTGCTTATAAAACTCTAATTTTTTGACAAATTATTTCTTCAAATTAAATACTTATGGTACCAGTGTTGTAGAGAATCGAATGGGCTTTGAAGCAGTAAAAGATAGTTTTTTAAAACTATTTTCACTCAGATAAAAAATGCAAAACACAAACGTAACGCTGTGGCACTTTTTTTTATCGACCAAATTTGAATCACTTAACATGCTTAAAATTTTTTAATGTTTATATATATTGATCACTACCGTACATATATCTTTCCGTAAAAAAATCAAGTTGCTTCATTGAAATAGGAGCTCAATAAATGTACAGTAAGTTAGAAACTGTCAAGAGCTTAGAAGTTGTCCTGAGTAATAACAGTAAAAAAATAATAGATCATTTTGTAGAGAATCAAATTCTGCATCGAATGGTATATTAGTCTACATTTTTGTTTTAAATCTCTTGGTTAGAAAATTAAAAATTTTAAAACGCGGTTTTCGATGCCAAAATTCAATGTTTTTTTAAAAACAAAAGTCCAAATTCATAATCAGCGTAGAAAACTGTACCAGAAAATACGCTGAGATCTGTCCATATCGAAAAGCAAAATTTTTAAAACTTGATCAGCAAAGTAGCGCCTAACGTGGACAAGTCGAAATGCTTTCGCAATCTGAGAATATTTGAAATCTGTGTATAGCGACAATTGCTGAGTGTTTGCGTAATATTATTATAAACTTGATGAGCATGTTCTTACTGAAATTGATAGGGATCTTATTTAGATGCTGACAATCTTGATAACATTGATTCCGAACAAGATGCACTCATATATCCGACTAGAAGAAAGCTCTTTTTCTTAGAGACAATAAACCTTATAAAAATAACAATTTTATAATTCTTAAATAGTTATTTATTTATTTTTTAAGATAAATGAATACATTCAAAAAAGAGAAGTTAAAATGATTCAAAATAATCTTCTGATTTCAATGACCAACGCGATCGCGCGGAATAATTCGAAGTTCAGCTCCATGCTTGAGAAAAACATTTCCTAAAACAAACAATTTAAAGAAAAAAGAAATTATCGATCTAGTCAGAACACATAAAATTTCTCGTATACAACCAGCTGTTTGCGATGGATTGATTCCAATGCCATCATTCGTAATAATTGCACTTGTAGCGGCTTGAACTTTGAACTAGTTAATATTAATTTTCATAGGGTTCATTTTTTTCCATATAAACAAAATAAAAATTTATAATTACTTCTTCAGCCGCAAATTTTAGAACAGCAGTGAATGGTGTATTTTCTGGTACACTTAAACTAAGAATAAAATTAAGACGATAAAAAAGATGGTAAGAACATAATCACAAAGATTTCGTTTACACTTTGAATGGTAATTTTGGATCAGATGTTAATGTAATTTTAAAAGTAACTTTAGCACTGCTAGAAGTTGACGTTGTCTGTTCATTCGATGCCATCTAAAATCGAGAATATAACCTCAAGTTATTATTTATTCTCGAAAACAAAGAAAAAAAAACAAAAACAAAGATATTCATAGTGATTTATTCTTTATTAGTTTGATCAATTTTCTTTCGTTTTTCTTGAGTTTGATCATCATCAGTTGGTAAGTTACGTTTTAATCCTTTCATTTTTCTTGTTTGTAATTGATTAAAATCTTGTTTTTCCATATGAATACGACCCATTTTTGTACCCAATTCATTTGTTGACACATTTTTAACTTTCTTGGCTTTAATAGCATCTGGTCGTTTAAGTGTTTTCTTATAGAAATCATCCGATGCTAATTTGGTTCGACGAATAGTTAAATCCAAATGTGGCCCTATTTCATTTAATTCAATTCTTGGTATACGATGACCGGATTTTTTCAATTCAATATGAAAAACACGTATTGTCAATAATTTCGTCTGTATATCAAGTGTAAATGTGATAACATGTTCAAGTCCATTAAGATCAATTTCTTTCATATTTGTTTCACCACGAAAAAAATCAGTAAAGAAACATTTTAATCGTTTATATTCTGCTTCGCTATCAAATAATTCTCCATGAAATATTAAACATGGTTTATTTCCTGGAGCGAATTTAACACATTTAAAATCATCTAACGAACGAAATGTTTGACTATTTAATTCAAATTCAAACATATCCATAACAATATGATTGTGTAAACGTGCTAGAACAAGATTGTTTGGCCGCTTCTTACTGTGTGTTACATAGGCTAATAGTGAACAATCCGATTTTTGACAATACCATTCTAATTTACTGGTATTTTCAAATGGAAAAATATCAGGATTCTTTTTTTGATACATTTTTGAATACGGTGATTTAAGTAAATGAATATCTTTTAATAATATTTTCATAATATTATTTGTTTTATTTCCACGTATGCATAATGATGAACGAGCATTTTCAATTAATTTTGGCTCACGTTCTTTTAAAGCTCGTTTACCACGTTGAGTTTTTGGACGTTGAATGCGTTGTAACTTAACCATGATATATATTGTTTTATTTTAATTTTTTATATCTAAAACAAGTTTTTTTCACTTTTTTACTCATTCAATTATAAAGACAATCAGAGATTTATAGATAGATAACATATCAAAGACACACAACAAGATTGACAACAAATAAAACTAATAGTCTTTTTTATTTCTTTTCATCTGGGCGATCTGATACTGGTGTATCATCATCGGATTTGTCATGCCGTCTTGATGCTGTTTCAGCTTGTGCAGCAATTAAACGAGTTACATACCCTTTGGCTTTTTGTCGACGAAATTGTTCAAATGGGTCATCTTCATGACCAATACCTTTATATTGATCATTTTTTCCTTCATTATTTACACTTGAACTTGCCATGATAGGTTCAACAATGCCTTGTTCACGACGACCAAGACCTGCACCTTCTTGCCAACCTGGAAAAAAATAGTTTATGTTCAAAAGAATTGTCATCAAATCTTTGTTTTCATACCCATTTTTTGTAAAAGTTTATGACCAAGATTTGAGTCTCCTAATTTATGTTGTTGTTGATGATGGTGATGATGATGATGATGATGATGTGAACGATGATGTGTTTCACTTGTTGAACTAGAGCTAGGTGTTATGAAAATGATTTTTATGTATCAAACCATCAAAATTTAGAATAATTCGATAGAAAATAGATACTGTCATTTCTGAGATTATAATAAATAGATCTGATAAAAGTTGAACATGAGTATTTTTCCTGATAGCTAACGAAATTTTGATTAACAATTTACCTTTGAGGTATATATGCTGATGTGAACGATGGCGGAGATGTACTACGAGATCGAGACTTGGTTGGTAGAATAGTTTTGATAGATTGTTGTTTATCATATGGCGGTGATGCTGATCGAGATCTGTAAAATAAGTAAAATAAATTACCATCAATGAAACCAAAGTGAAATGACTCATTAACCTGGAACGTTTTCTTGCTTGATTTGAATTTAATTTCTCTTTTGATGACGATGAAGATGACGATGATGATGACGATGAGGATGATGCAGACGAATGTGATGATGATGATGATGATGATGATGATGATCGTGATGAACTTGACGAACTTTTTGAACGACTTCTATCAGATGGTTGTCGTCTATCTGTATGTATATATTCTTTATCATCTTGATTATTTACATTTGTTCCAAGACGTTGCAGACGTTCTTTAGAAAATTTATATGCATTTTTTGTTTTGTAGTATTCAAATAAGCCTAATCGTTCCCAACCCTCACTAGAAACAAAAAATACGGATAAAATTCTAGAAATGTTATTTCAATAAACATACGCATTTCTGGGTGTTTCATGTGTAGGTGGCATATAAAAATTTTCTACAGCAGCTAACAATCGTTCAGTTATTGGTGCCGACGGTGGTAAATGCATATGTACTGGATCTATTGGATTATAATCACAATCTTCATTCTATAACAAAAAAATAAACAGAATGTTCTTAGTACAATTCACATAGGATTAAAGTGTAAAACGCGATACAGTAAATGAAATAACGATTGTTTCATATGACATACTCTAGGGCGCAAATCGCCTGAATTCTTCATAGATACAAAAAGAAAAACTTTTCTATATTCTAACGAGACATTATTGATCTACAATCTGTGATCATATTTCAATAGCACTTTCAATGTTTTCTCACTCGTAAATACTAAAATCTCAGGATGTGAAAATATTTTTGTATTAAAATTTAACACTAGTTTTGGTTAGATTGTATTTAACAAAAAAAAAAAAACAGCGTATAATTGAAATCAAGTATTACTTTAACTAATAAACATAAAAGACCAGCTGGTAAATCATAATAAGGTATATCATTAGCAACCATACTTAAATCGAACGATTGTTCGACTGTTGTATTCATGGTATTCGCGTAATCTTCATGTTGATTATTATTATCATAATGAGAAATAGGCATTGACATTAATGCTGGAGGAGTATTATCATAAATATTTGATGATGGACGTAGATCTTTAAAATCAAAAAAGTTTCGGAGTTCGAATTTTTCATTCAGAAACATTTACTTACTAGCACTATCCCTCACATTTTCATTAAATGGATTGAGTGACATTAAAGGTGGTGGTTGTTGCGCATTAGGATTATTTGTTTGGGATGGAGGTGGCATTCGAGTTAACATATTTGGTGGAAGTGTTGGACCTAAACATTTTTCTTGCATGCATATATATTCATATTAAATTTTGTAAGTTTTACACTACCGAAAGTATTATTTAGTAAATGAGGAGGTGGTGGTAGAGGTAATGGTGGTGGCGTTTGCTGTTGAACTTGATGTAATTGAACAATTTGTTGCTGAATTTGATTGATTTGTGTTTGAATATGAACAGCAAATTCTGCATGTTGTCTTTCAAGTTGAGCATATTTTTCATCGAAGCCAGCTTCAATTGTTTCAATAATGGGAGCATACTCTGTACGAATAGCATCCTTTTTTATTTTAGAATAAAAATAAATAAATTTTTTCAATAAAGGTATTGAATTTAGGCTGCTTGTTTTTTTTTTACCTCGAAATGATTCTTTGCTTGTGAAATATCACGAAGTTTCTAATCAAAGCATTTAAGTTTAGTTTGTTGCATAAATATTTATGTTTACCTCCATAATGTCATTATTGAAATAATTGTTTTTTACCCAAAGATCGAGTAGCTGTATGAGAAAGGACGTGAATAATGATTTTATAATAAAATCTCATGAAAATTTATCATCCAATTAATTATAATATCTCTACCTTGACCAGTTTTTGTTTACGTTCATCATTTGCTTGATCGACAGCTAAACAATAAATTGGAACAATAATTTTGCTCATTTGCATACGAATTTCATCGTTGCCTTTACGAATACTGAAAACAAACAAACAAACAAGAAGTTCAATATATTTGAGAAAAAAATATAATTATCTAACCAATTATGAAGAATATCATTCATTAAATAAATTAAATGAAGACGAGCATCAAATGTTGCTTCAGGTGCTAAGCTACGATCAATTAAATATAAACAAATGGTTTCAGCTTGCAAAGTAGTTTGACTATAATTAAGTATACAATTACGACCAGTCTAAAAGAATTTTCAAAATTAATTTTGTTATCATTATAAACAAAAATAAAAGGCACCATACTGTAATATTATCTTTGGTACAGGCTTCAATTATAGATAATGTTGCTTGATCAAGTTCATTAATATTAATATTCGATTCAGTTGCTTGTGCTGTTATACGTGCTTGTCGAGCAGCTCGAATATTCTCTTGCACCTTGGTCTAAAATTTAAAAAAAGAAACAATAGCTATTGATTGAACTTTGTTATTAAATAGTTTATACTTTTTTATTTATTTGCATCGAATCACGTTGTGCAGCAAGATTTATTTCACTTTGTCTTAAGCGTTCTTGTAATGCTTGCATTTGTTGTTGAAAAGCTTGTTCAATAACAACTGCAGGTGGTGGTGGTATTGGTGGAATAGGCATTGGAGGGGGTCCTGATGAAAATATATGTGGCGGTGGAGGTTGCTAAATAAATAGAAATGATTTTGATTATTTTGCTTCTTTTAGGAAATTAATTATTAAAATACCGTCCAAGGAGGAAGTGGACCATTTGATCCTGGTGGAGGAGGAGGGCCAGGAAATGGTGGCAATGTCGGACGAGAAGAATGATGAGACATTGATGTTGGTGCAGGAGGCATATTTGGTGGTGGCAAATGAAAAGGATTTGGTGGTTGTTGAAGCACTGTGAAAAAGAAAGTAAATGACAATATAATAAAACATTTTTCATTTATATTTACAAGTTTTTTCCGCTTGTACACGAAACTGGTAATAATGTTGATATTCACCGCCTCGGAGAAAAGCAAATTTTGGATTGTTTTCTTGTTTTTGTCTTGTTGCTACTTCAAATTCTGGACCATTGCCTATTATTGTACAATAAGCAAAAGAAGATTATTGAAAGAAATTGAAAATATGAAAAAACATACGAGCGACAAAACTAGCAAGTTTCTCGATGATATTTCTTGTTTCGGGATCTAAAAATTGATTAACTTATAGAATATTTGAATTAAGAGATGAGAATAAATACCGTCTGGAGGCTGTGGTATTGACATTTTATTTTATAGACTTATTAATAAAAAAGTTGTCGTTTCACAAGTAACAGTTTCTTTACACTCAGTCTTTCTTTTCTTTTCTTTTTACTAGTGCTACAGTCTTACCGGTTAAAAAATTTGGCCAATAGCAATACTCATTCGTTGTAAAATATATAAAAAAAATATATATATACATATAATTATAATAAAACAAAACATCTATTTTATGTTTAAATTAAGTTTTATTTAAACGTGTATTTATTTTTAAAAGATAATAGTAAAGAGGTTAATAGTATTTAATAACTGGTTAGAATTAACCAATGAATTTTCATATGACTGATGACGATATGACGTCAGCTGAGTGAACAGTATCACGTGGACTTGTTCTTCGTTTATAAAATCATTTGATCAAACTTAGTCATTTATTGATTTGTTGAGTCTTTTAAATCTATTTATTTCGATGACTGATATAACAACAGCAATATCTAATGATCTACAAACGAATTCATTATCAGGTCTGGCAAATCTATCATCTGATACGAATGAAATGATAGAAACAATTAATCCAATTTCGGATTCAATTGTTAGTGATGAACCGCCAACAAAAAAATCTAAAATAACATCCAATGATAAATTGCGTTTACTAGAAGATCGTATCAGTTCTATTTTGTCTTGTTGTATTTGTTTGGATCTTTCGACATTATCCATATTTCAAGTAATAATCACAAGAATTACTTTCGAAATCATCAACTTATGAAATCTTGTTTTTTTTCTCTTTTCTTCGCAGTGCGTAAATGGACATCTAATGTGTGCCTCATGCTTTAATCATTTATTAGCTGATTGTAAATTAAAAGATGAACAAACAACGTGGTATGTTTGAAAAAAATCTGATTGAGAGAAAAAGTTCTTTACAAAAGAAAATAATCTTTTAGTCCAAATTGTCGTTGCGAAATTTCTAAGTCAAATTGTACGAGAAATTTAGCGGTTGAAAAAACTATATCAGAATTACCTATACAATGTGATTATTGCCTTCAAATTTTTTTACGTTCAGAAATCAAGAATCATCAATCGCAAATTTGTCTCGATCGGTTTGTAGCATTCATTGTATATAGAAAAATAAAGAGAAAATAAGAACATTCTCATAATTTATAGACCAACTATTTGTGACTATTCATTACTTGGATGTAATTGGAATGGACCATTTCATAGTTTATCATCACATCTAACAGTATGTGAATATCCAAATAAGACTGGTTTGGAACTAATTGATACAATACAAGCACAGAAATGTTTATATGATGACGAAAAAAAGTCCCTTGAAACAGTTGTTGATTTACTTTCACTGAATCAAATTGGAGTTAGTGGTAAGTAATCAATTTTGAAAATTTACAGTGATTGTTCGGTAATAGGACAACTGTTTCAAAAACAATGAGAAGTTAAACAATGAATATGATGAAACTAACGCTGAAATCTCACTGAATGAGATGTTTATTGTCACATGATGTCAGTAAAAAATTGATCTTATATGATGGAGGATGATAGTAATGATTTCTACTATATTAAAGTGATGGTACACATAGATCGCTCTAAATTATCTTAATAATTGGATTGTTCTATGTGTTGCATTTTGCTTCTTGTTGGTTAACCCTTTCCGACCGGAAGGGGTTAAATTAGAGTTAAGAAACACTACTTATTTTCAGTTTAAATTACGAAGAAACAGTGACTACGTAGTAATGTTCAGTAATTTGTATCTACTTTAGAGTTAAATTGTTCTGATTTCCTGTCGATAACGATAATGGTATATCAAGTAATAGTGATCTTTTTCAGTACTTGATTAACGACAATATAAATAATGCTACAGTTTCTATTAAATATTTTGACGTACATGAGAACTCTCATCGATAAATATTATATTTAATTCTTGAACATCAATATCATTATGCATGTAATTATACAATGATATAAATAGAACTATCTTCATTGTTCTTCTAATACATATTGTAGATATAACCAATTTAACATAGCATTTTAGAAAATATTTCGAATTCAATAGGCCTAGTTGTCGAATAACTTGATATGATAGGTTTTCTTTCATAAAAAGAAAAAAGCTTAGCTTTATTACAATTTGTTTTTATTTATGTAGATCTTGTTTTAAAACCATTTCGAACAGATGATTTCGTTGTCAAACTTTATTTTGAAACATCACGTTTTACAGCATTACAGTATCAATGGCAAGTACGCGCTCGAATTAATGATAATATTCCACATCCACATACAACAATTACACGATCATTAAGCTACCAATTAGTACTGAAATCTAAAATAAATCAAACAATCGACTTGAAATTTTTTATTCTCAAGGGACCACACGGTGATCCATCAACATCACAAATACAACCAATTATTTATCATTTTGAATTTAATCAAAACAATACTGAAACAGAATATTTAAAATTGCCCATCAGTTCACAAGAATGTAACAGAATGTTATCATCGTCATCAATTAGTTTTCGTTTACTAATGGTTCAACTTGATAAACCTTAAATGAAATAAATCTATTTTTACTATTCAGTACCCTTGTTCAGATATATATATATATATATATTCGTATTTGTATATGCTTATAGAATAGACAAAGACCTTTTATCTTTCTCTTTTTTTTTATCAACTACACCTAAGTCGACACTAATCACTCATTTTTGCTTCTGTGCATGTCACTGTACGCATAAATAGATTCGCATGATTTTTATTTCTTATTCTTAAACATATTTATGTCACTTTTTTTTAGAACTATATCAGAAAAGAAGAATACATTTTTTTCATTTCATAAAATTGTTTTATTTATTTATTGATTGATAAAGGGTCATAATTCAGTCATATATAGGAACTTCAATAATATATGAGTTGTTAGGAATAAGATAAAATAATCCATATTAAAATATTAATAAGAAAAAGAAAATTTTCTATAAATTCGTTTTTCTTACAGCTACTCAATTGTCTTTAAATCCCAGAAAACAAACCAATCATTTATTTGATTTTCCAATGATTAATATCGCTTCAAATAATACCAAATCAAACGAACACGTTGACATAGAAAAACTAAATATAAATGTTGAATGTGCACTAGATATTCACTACAAATGATACTGATCGTATAATAACTATTTTAACTAGAAAACTATTCCATTTCAATAATGGTTATTTAGTACAATAATATGTTACAGAATAGAAAATATAAATGAGAAAATAATGATAGGAAGATATACTTATGCGATATGTTAATAGAGAGAAACTATCCATGATTGTAGCAAACAGAATTTTCTGCTTAATAAAAATTTTTGTTTGTTTATTTTACTCATCGACATTTAAATTAATAAGAATTTTCAATTTAAAATTATATGTGTACTCAACGGTAAAAATGATGAATTAAAACTTTTATTGAGCTTAAGCGTCATCGGTATACATGATTAGTTTAGACATCTTAATTCTGCTTATTTTTCTCAACATAACGTTATATGTGGTACTTCAACATTAATTGCCACTACTTATCAGTATGTCAATAATATTAAAATTGGCATTGACAATAATATAAAATAATGCCAAGTGTGCAATAATAATTTTTTCAAAAATAATTATCACACTAATTTTTTTCTTCGTTCAACTATATTAAATATTTTACATGTGATATTATTGAATAGGATCTGCATAGTCGTTTGAAAATCTAGTGTTTCTTGCCTATTTATTTTATATTCGTCTCTTTCTAGTATGTACTATTTTCAAGTATAATCATGATTAGAGGTTACTTTTTTTAATGGTATTTCATTGGTATTAAAAACTTGATAAATTTTACTATTTTTAGATTTTATTTTATTTCAATTAAAAATGAGAAACTTAGTGGTAGATTATTGTTTAATAGAAGGTAATTATTAAACAAATTTTTTATCTTCTTTTTGCATACTGATACACGTATTTATTATTTTATCACAATAGAAAACGATATTTTTTCTTATGCTGATCCTTACAAAAGGAATACTTTAGTCTCTTTTTCTTTTTAAGTCGTCGATATGAAGTAATAATTACTATGCAGACAGGTAAAAGTTCTGTGTGAAATAAGATAAATGTGTTGAACGACATATCAAAAGAAGGAAAAACTAAAAGAACGACGATGGGAATAAAAAAGAAATGAAGAAGAAACTGGTAGTACTGTGTGCAATGGCATACGAAATCAAACATAGCTGCCGAGCATTACTCTCGTCTCTCTCTTCTCATCTACTCTTACTCATGCTCCTGACGCTACTATTATTGTTCGTTGGTTGTCATTAATAGTAGTGGTAGCTGTGAAAGTGTTTTACTAACAAAAAAAAAAAGAATCGTAAGTATTATAGTACAAATGTTTTTCAAGAGCCTAATAATGACGAGAGTCAATGCAAATTGTTAGTAAGAATTATAAAAGAAACACATATACTAAAATATTTTAATCTTTGAATAAATAAACTAAAATATAGGATGAATTAAGTCCTATCCAGGGACACTAATAGAAGAAGAGAGGTTGTATTTAGGTTTTAAGTGATTCATTTTTGTATTCTTTGTTAAATGTACTCTATGCATTCAAACATAACTATCATTACGGATAATAATAACATGGCACTTAGAAGAACAGCCTGTCGCTGTCATTGTTTCCATTGATAGCTACCCTCATCAGTTTTGTTATGTCAATGATTCGTACCGATCTTTGTCTTGAGTATTGATCGAGAACATATGGAGAAAAGAATAACCGATCAAAAAAACAAAAAAAATGATAGAGAAGAACAACAAGGAAGTTGATTGAACAAGAATCAGATATTTCTCTTGTCTAATTGAATTTTTCAAGATCCAACATAAAGCTATCATAAGAGGAAAAGAAAGTCAAAGAGAATTTATCGATCGAAGAAAAATATAAAATGATGCAGAAAAAGTAAAGAAAATCGCTTTTTACATTCATACAGATAGTAATTTTCTAGACACGAATTTCATATATTATATATATGACAAGTAATCAATATTATACGATCGGATCAGAGTAGTAGAATTAGATCGTTTTTATCTTAGATACATCTCTAGACTCATGCCTAAATATGCGTTGTTTAATATTGTCGCTGACGTATGAGTCTTATCTTTCCAAACCTAACAAACTTGATACTGTGTTTTGCTGCATCATTCCTTCTTTTTCTTTTTCTCTATCAATTTACAGTTATTTCCTTCCTCTGTTTTACTATTTCTAATGAGACTACCATATAGAAACTATAGATATGAGGAGGAAGCCAGCACGAGAAACCTGAGTCTTGTTGCTTTACTTACATTGTGACTTACACTCTTGGAATTATCGTTCTGATTTGGTTCTTTCCTTTTTCTTTAGTTCTCATTCATCGTCAGGTGTTTTTTTTTCGTATCAATTCTTACTTCTATTTCGTTTACCTATAAAATACTATTTTTCTGTCGTAGACGAATATGTCAATATTTTTCTCTAGTCATTTTTCTAGATTGGTGAAACACATTTTATACTGCTCTTGTTGTTGGTAAAGAGTGCTCCCTTGATAATAAGGTTCCTCGGGTATATAGAGATCAATCATCATATTTTTCAGAACAATTCTTCTTTGCTTTATTTGAAAAGACAGAATCTGTGCTTCTTTGATAGGAAACAAGTGAACGAAAACAAAATTTTAAAAAAGAGAAAGTTTCTTGCTGAAGTTGGATTTTTGTCTTGTTCTTTTATTTTTAAGGTTACTTGCATGAAGACGAACATAATGAATTAGCAAAAAGTCGACAAAAGAAGAAGAAGAAGAAGAAGAAGAATAAAAATAACAGCAACAAAACTAGCTAATCGAAATGACTAGTGACGTTGATTTAGTTCGCAAAAAATTAGTTGTTGTCGGCAATGGTAATGTTGGCAAAACATCTTTACTTTATGCATTTAAAGATAATCGATTTTGTCAAGATTATGTACCGACTTTATTTGAAGGAAATACTCATGTCATCGATGTTGATAATAAACGTATTGAATTATTATTAATCGATACAGCTGGACAAGAAGAATATGCCAGGTAGTATTATTATTCGTATTGAAAGTTTGAACACTTGTTTTGTTTCTTGAAGAATAATTATTATGCGTGATGTAAAGTTTGATTATTAGATATGAACAGTAATTTATTATCAATAAATTTGAGACGTGTCTAGAAGTTCATTTACCATTGGACATCATCATTACTATCGATAGAAAGGCACATATAAAATCGATTAATGATTGTTAAAACACAAGATGTTCTCATTCCTAAAAACAATTTAATTTTTTTTCTTCTTTGTTTCTCTTGTTAGTTTCATATTATGAGAGTACGAGATACATGAATTATTTATTGATTCAAGTATTATCATTTGTTCTCTTTTGTTCAAAGAAATTGTTTTTCTCAAGATAACAAAACAGAATGAAAAAAATACACTTAGTTTATGTAACGATTCAATCGGGAGAACAGGTACTATATCCGAAACATTTCAAATCAATTATTTTTAATGAGAAAACTAAAAAAGAAAATTTCTCTTGTCTACGTTACAACTACAAGTCGATACTTTGAAAATAGGACAACTAGCTATTTCCGTAATCTTCACCGATCGAAATGTTCATGTTGACCTTTTTTTATGTCGCTTAACATGAAGATTTTTTTTTCTTCAAAAGAATCATGTTAAAAGTATAAATATGTGAAATATCCTCTTATAATTAATAGTTTGCATCCGACATATTACGTACAAGTTTATTCAAATTAGATTGAACCCATAAGAACTTGCAAACGCAATCTTAACATATTCTATCGTAGAAATGAATAATTTTTGCAGATATTTAGAAGAATTATTAGGAAATAAAAAGAAAACCAAGGTGATTCTAAAAGAAAGAAGCCATTTAGAAAAAGAAAAGTAAACAAGTCACCAAATTATTGAAATATTAAGAATGTTTGATTGATGGGAACGGTTTTTTTTTCGAACATGAATATATCTAGGTTATATTTATTTATTTATTTTACTAATTTTAGACTTCGTGTACTTGGCTATCCCAATACTCAAGTTGTTTTAATTTGTTTCGCTTTTGATTCACCCGATAGTCTCACATGTGTATTGGACAAATGGGGACCTGAAGTAAAACATTATTGCCACAATGTTCCTATACTTTTAATTGCGAACAAACGTGATCTACGTGATGATCCGACTGTACATGAACGCATTAAATCTCAAAATCAAAAAATCATAACAACTGAAGATGCTCTTCTGTGTGCCAAACGAATCGGCGCACGAAACTATCTTGAATGTTCAGCAAAGACACGTGAAGGTGTGCGAGAAGTATTCGAATACGCAGCTAAAGTAGCATTAGATAGACATTCACACGACAAATGTTTTTGTAATTGCACTTTATTATAACTGTCTTGAACTTTATTTCTATGAGTGAATATTGCTCAATTCCGTCCATCATACATGTCATATATATGTTTGTTTATTTACCTTCTTATACAAAATGACAGTATGGTTCAGTCACGTGTATATATTTTTAGATCAATTACTGAAAGAATAATGGGAAAATGTGCCTTTGTTACTGTAGGTTCAACTCAATTTGATCTATTAATTGAGACAATTGTTCATGATCCTAATGTGCTTCAAACGCTTGTTGATTGTTTACAGATTAACAAACTAATTTTACAAATAGGTAATAGCCAGATGCCATTGATTGATAACATTTCAATCCCTATTGAATGTTATCCATATAAAGATTCAATTGAAAATGATATACAACAAGCTGATATTGTTATTAGTCATGCTGGTGCAGGTACAATTTTACAAGCATTAGAAGCTCATAAACCATTGTTGGTTGTTGTGAATGAAAAACTTATGAATAATCATCAGTTAGAAATAGCTAATGAAATGGAACAACATGGCTATTTATTTCATTGTACTTGTTCGAAATTAGCAACAACATTAAAACAATTTGTTAACCATACATTTAAACAATATGAAAAAGGCGATCCATTATTATTCGGACAATATTTAAATAAAATTATGTCGTAATTATTTTCGATTATTTTATTTTATTTTTCGTCTTTCGTTTTTTTGGCAGTTAAAGATATTAAAATTACAATAAACTAGAAAGAGTTCTATAGAAGAAATTTTCTACTAGCTTGAAATGAATAATCAGCAATGTTATTAGAGATTTGGTAAATGTAATTCCGATAAATTTCTTTCGGAATTTATTGTAATATTTCAGGCTAAATAACATTCTGATTATTTATTCCCGGCAGTTTATTTGAGAACTTCATAATTATATTTCATTGATAATAATCAAATCAAGATACTTCTATATGAGTCATTTAATAACTAGTAAAATAATGATTGAATCATTAAAATATCTCAAGATTCTTTGAGCAACAATTTTGTTTCATCTATGCGAAATTATGATTATAGAACATTGTAGAATATTACAAAAGACAAACAAACTATCAATTCAATTGAGAATGATAATGTTCTCGTAACTAGGATACATAAATCTAAATTTTGTTTAGCTTTTTTTTCAGTGTGAAATATTTGTTATTCGACTATTATTGTTCTCTCGAATAGTTACTCTTCTTTTACAAACACTCATTTTCATTATTAATGTTTCTATTGCTAACATTAGCAAACAACGTTGATAATTTAAAATAATGCGTTATACATCGATGCCAATGAGTCAATATTTCATCCGGAAAACTGTTAATGTGTGTAATTCTAATTACTTCATTGTTGATAATAATCAGGAAACTGTTTTCTGATTTTCACATTCTCACGCATTCTAGTTATTTCCAGTTTAGAAAGTTGGTTCATTTTTATATTCACTATGTAAATATGTTCGTATTTATTTTATTTATTTGAATAATCATACAAATTAATGAATCAATTCGACTAGGCACACATCTTAGTTTCTTATACGTGAATGAGTTGACTGTCTAGAGAGTGTAAGTGTATTACTTGAATTTCTAAATTTTCTTCGAATGACTTACTATTTAATGAATATTTGTGCTATTTCCTTTATATTTCTCAATTTTCTACGTACGATTTCAAAATGATGTATTTTCGATGAGATCTTTTAACAATACTAATAATTGAATTTTTTGTTCTGTTTTGATAAAAAAAGACAACAAACACAATCATTTGCTTTGATATCAATTTTAAAAGATAGAAAGTTTACGAGTACTTTATTGAATTAATATCTGTTGTAATTATGTCTATGTATTGTTGATGAATGATTATCTACTATTTTGAATTTTCTTATCGAGTTTTCTAGACCAAATCCAATAAAAGAAAAGGATTTTGATATCATTCATATTTCATTAGATTCAATCTATTTCAATTATTAGTTTGTGCGGGGGGGGGGGGGGGGGGGGGGGGGCCGGGGGGGGGGGGGGGGGGGGGGGGGGGGGGGGGGGGGGGGGGGGGG